AAAAACAAGACGATCTAGAAAGGTATGCCAAACAACGAAAAAAGGTAAAGAAGGGCGCGGAAAAAAGTATATTGATGATAAAGTATGACAAGAATAATTGGAGAAGTTTTTCCATGACCTTAGAACAATACACGAGCCCATCATTAAAGAAAATTCAGGTCCCGAAATCCTACCAGAAGAAATAAGTACAGCCGTCAGACAAATGAAGAATGGAAAGGCACCGGGAATGATGAAATTCCTGCATAACTGTTGAAGGTACTAGATGAATAACAAATAAAAATAATAACTGAAATATTTATGAAATATACAAGGCAGGAAAAATACCAAAGTGCCAAATCGGAGTTCGTACCATTGTCCAAAAACCAGGAGCAAAAGTTTGTGAAGATTATAGGACCATAAGCCTAATGAGCCATCTGCTGTTTTTAAAAGTCATCCACAAAAGAATTTACCGGAAATGCGAGGAACAAATTGCGCCCAATCAGTTTTAATTTGTGAACACCGTTGGTACGAGGGAAGCTTTATTTAGCGTGCAGATATTGTTACAGAAATGTAGAGATGTCAGCTGTAACGTTTTTGCATGCCTGATTGACTACAAGAAGGCTTTCGATAGAGTCAGGCATGAACAAATGATGGAAGTGCTGAAGAGGACAGGATGAGATTGACGGAAAAGACTTAAAAATAATAGCTAACCTGTATTGGAATCAATAGCTCCGAGTAGATGGAGAATATACAGATCAGGTTAAAATTTTAAGAAGAGTGAGACAGGGGTGCATAATTTCACCACTGATATTTAATCTGTACTGAGAGCACATTTTTGAAGAGGCTCTTAAAAATATTGATAAAGGTATCTCAATAAATGGTGTCAAGCTCAATAACCTGACATATGCATATGATACAATAGTGTTTGTCCAATACCATAGAAGGGTTGCAAAACTTAATGAACAAAATAACGGAAACAAGCAGAAAATATAGACTGGATATAAACACCAACAAAACCAAGCTAATTATCAACAGCAAGGGAAACATAACTGGAGTAAATCTGTATGTGAACCAAATGAGAATTGAACGCGTCTACATGGAACTACTTGGGAACTATAATCAATGAGTCGTGGAACAACACCCAAGAGATTAAATGTCGCATTGGAAAGGTAAAGAGTGTATTCTTGACTATGAGTTCTGTGTTCAAGAGATATGAGCTCACTCTAGAAACAAAAATAAGGCTCCTTTAATGTTATGTGTACTCAGTGCTTCTGGACGGAGTTAGAAACGTGGACATTGAAGACGGAAACTCTATCAAAACCTCGGACTTTTGAGCTATGGTCATACAGAAGGATCTTGAAGATACCATGGACAGACAAAGTCGCCAATGAAGAAGTACTACGGAGGATAAACACAACTTGAGATTTGGTCAACATCGTGAAGGGAAGTAAGTTGCAGTACTTGGGCCATATAATGAGAAATCAAGGCAGATACGAGCTACTTCAATGCATTTTACAAGGTGAAATTAAGAAAAAAAGGCCCCGGACGAAGAAAATATCCTGGCTTGCTAACCTGAGAGCATGGTATAGAAAGACCCCAACACAGCTATTTCGTATAGCAACCAACAAAGTCATCATAGCCAGAATGATCGCCAACGTTCGGAACGGACAGGCACCCTAAGAAGAAGATGATAAAGTAAAGCGTGTTGAAAAAAATTACAAAAAAAAACGAAATAAACAATTTCTACAAATAGGTTAGGTACATTAAAACTGAGTACTAGGGCAGAACGATGAATGTAAAAGATAAGCAAGGAAACCTGATAGTGAAAGAAACTGCTAGATGGCGGAAAGACTACTAAAAAAAATTTAATGTTCCTAAAATTCCAAATAGTAGTAGAAATACCAAAGCCCATGAGCGAATAAATTGAAGAAATAATAAAAGATATGAAAAATTAAAAAAGCCCTGGGAAGAGCTGTATTGTGGCAAAGAACGTGAAATCTGAAGGAGAGACTTTACGAAACAAATTAATAGAAATGCTAAAAGAATTTTAAGTGCTAGAAACAATAGGAAGAATGGTAAAAATGACAATTAGAAAAACCATTTGTGCTGTGAAATGCAATGGTCTCAAAAGAATTCGAAGTGAAAAAAGGTGTTCCCCAAAGAAACCCGTTGTCTACCTAGCTATTCAATATAGTTCCTAAAAAAATTGTGAGGGTTAGTGGGATGAATAGGTCCGGCACTATTTTCTACAAAGAGCACCATTGCTTAGCGTATGCTGATGCTTTGGTTATCATTGCAAGAAAAGAAAAAGAACTAGCGAGTATAGAAAAAAGACTGATTCGGGAAAGCTCTAAAATGGTACTGAAAGTTAATATTAATAGATTCAAGTATATGGAAATCTCACCCAAAAAAGAAACAAATATCAGGGGCTCCTTTGAATTTGGGGTGGAGGATAGATCAGCTGTAAAATCTGAGAATGTGAATGAATATATGTACTTTGGTACATACAGGTTACCCTTATTGATCAGACACGTAAGGAAGAAACTGGAATCAACCTGAGCCTGAATCGACCAAGAGCAACAGATGGCCTGGGACCATAAACAAAATAATTAAGGTCAAAATTTATCTCGTAAAACAAAAATAAGAGTATACAAATTTATAATTATACCTACAATGCTATATGCTGTCGAGAGATGGACTATGAACAAAACCTTACAGAACAGATTGGAAACATGGTAAAGAATGATACTTCGCAGAATGTTTGGTGAATAAGAGGGAGAATGCAGTAGACGAACTAATGTAAAAGTGCAAAGATTGTATGCTAATACCACAAGAACAAAAGTAGTGAAAAAAACGTAGACTAGAATGGCTCAGGCATCTAAAAAGAATGTAAGGTAATAGACAAGTCAAGAATATTGGTTAGAGAGTACTTGAGGCCAAAAAAAGCCAGGAAGACCAAGAAAAAAATAAAGAGATATAGTGACTTAAGACATCAGAAAGATGTTAATCAGAAATTAAAATCTGATAGCTAAGAACAGAAAACGATGGAAATTATCCATCCGCAATGGGCCTAAAAGGGCTGTTAACGCTATACGTACATACATGTGACTTTCTGGTAAGTTTTTATTAGAGTACTTATTTTCATAACGCCTTGCAGCCGTCTTAAAATTCTTTTAACATTCACTTAATTAAATAAAATGAAGAAAAATCCACAATTAATATTTCCGTTAAATCCGCCATTTCAGAAAAGCTGTAATTGTTCATTTTCATTTTCATTTCATTGTTCTAATTAATTAATACAATACTTTTGTTCATAATAACTGTAAAATCACTGTTAGGAAAGAAAACACAAAAACAGTCTTCTTCTACATTAATAGTATCCTACAAACAAATATAAACAGAAAAAAGAAAAGCGTTTTGAGACCCTTTCTAAACATCTAGAAAAATCTAGAAACAAATATTTTCGCCACTTTTTGCCGGTTTTATTGGTCATGTCATACTAACACATAATATAAAACAAAAACACAATGACGGTAATTAGATTTTGATTTGATACAGAGCAGCAACAAGCCGCATATACGTATTTCGATCTCTTTTGATCTCCTAAGTACGGTATAGTTACTACTCCATATTCAAACCAAAATATTTTCCCGTCGTAAATTATAGTTATTAAAATTAACTATTTACGGACGTAACTATGCCATCTAAGAACAAAAAGAGAAAACCATACGATTTCTACCTGGCGAAATCGAATTCAAATATAAGCCGCCGTTCTCCCTAAAACTTGCGAAGCAAACAGCTTGATGAATGAATCGGCAAGGGAGTCTAAAAAATTGCACGCCAAAATGCCGTTCATCATGGCCTATATTCGTAGTGAATTCGATTTCTGGTACTCCAAATGAAGTAAATAAACAAAACAAAATGACGGTATTAGATTTTGATTTGATACAGAGCAGCAACAAGCCGCATATACGTATTTCGATCTCTTTAGATCTCCTCAGTACGGTATAGTTACTACTCCATATCAAACCAAAATATTTTCCCGTCGTAGATTATAGTTATTAAAATAACTATTTACGGACGTAACTACGCCATCTAAGAACAAAAAAGAGAAACCATACGATTTCTACCTGGCGAAATCGAATTCAAATATAAGCCGCCGTGCTTCCTAAAACTTGCGAAGCAAACAGCTTGATGAATGAATCGGCAAGGGAGTCTAAAAATTGCAATCCAAATGCCGTTCATCATGGCCTATATTCGTATCGAATTCGATTTCTAGTACTTCAAATGAAGTAAATAAACAAAACAAAATGACGGTATTAGATTTTGATTTGATACAGAGCAGCAACAAGCCGCATATACCTATTTTAATCTCGTTAGATCTCCTCAGTACGGTATAGTTACTACTCCATATCAAACCAAAATATTTTCCCGTCGTAGATTATAGTTATTAAAAATAACTATTTACGGACGTAACTACGCCATCTAAGAACAAAAAGATAAACCATACGATTTCTACCTGGCGAAATCGAATTCAAATATAAGCCGCCGTGCTCCCTAAAACTTGCGAAGCAAACAGCTTGATGAATGAATCGGCAAGGGAGTCTAAAAATTGCACTCCAAATGCCGTTCATAATATATATACATAATATAAATTTTCATAACAAATTTTAAACCGTTTTGGAAAAAAATTTAAAAATTCGAATTTATTTTGTAACTTTAACAACCTGTAACTTTTTCTGAGTGCACTTTTGCATATAGATAAGTTAGGCCAACTCGACTATTTTTATCCCTAAAGATCGCAATACTTTGTGACCAATATTTTTGTAAATCCCTGTAAAAGGTGTATAATCATTTTTAAAATGTCTATTTTAGGAGAAAATTTATTTTTTAAACTCTTTGAATATCTTAAAGTAATCTGTATATATAACTGAAATATTATCTTCGCTTTACATGCCATATAACATTATTTAATCTACGTTTAATATTATTTTTGTAATGAATGTATTTTTATTTTTTAGCGTTTGGCCCAAACCAGTGAGAGGTTGGTTAACTTCAAAGCTCGTTTGATAACATCCCTCATATAAGAAGTGCTGCCATTCTTCATAGATGTCAATATTGTTTAAGGATATAATGACAACCATAATACGTTCCCCACAGTTTTTTGCCATAGTCGGTTCACTTTATTTTTTCTAGGTCAATTTACTAGTTATGGCTGTAAAATTTAGCAACTGTGGGAATTTCGATCAATTCAAAATTTATTTATAAATTCCTCTATTGTTGTTATATTATGTTTATTTGTAAATATCTGTTAATATTTATTATTTTCTTTTTTAAATACAGCACATACTTTCTTATATAAATATATCGAATTTTATTTTGTGTAAGTACTACAAAAATAAAATTTGTAAATAAAATATTGAACATCACTGTTTTCTAAATTATTACAATAGTTATCTATTTAAGGCAGCTATTTTTAGATTTACAGTAAACAGATCTTGGTGTGAATAACTATGTAACTGATGTGTTATTCAATTTTTTATTAATTTACAAGATAAAAAATTTATTTTTTAGAATATTAAAAGTGTTAAAAAAATGTTATTACTTTCCTTCCAAACAATATGTACTGTAATGTGCGCTTTTACGATATTTTATATTTAAAATCCACAAGAAAAATAATTCCTGCAGGCTGGCTGTATACCACGTATCACAAAAAAGAGGTTAGATCTTTGTAAATGGGTATATTAAAAAAAAAACCTTAAAAGGCTACATCAAATCACACGAACGTTTTCGGAATAATAATTCCATCATCTGGTTTAAAAATGCAAGGTTAACATGCCTTAGCCACCAAAATATCAGGGTAAAAACCCTTTAAAATTACATGTAGTTTGATTTATTTGATAATTTGATAATATTTGATGTTTAATATTAAATTGAATTAATTGACTTCAGTAACATACACCCATGGTTTAAGTGAGTTCCAGTGTCCGGAGAGTAAACCTCTTCAAACGGACTTCAGCTGGTAACAGCATAGTTGCTGTAGCAATATTTCCTATGCAAGTAAATATTGCATAGTTATAAATAAATTGTTCTAATTAGTAAGAAGTAAAACATTATATATCATTTAGACGTTTTTTCACGTAGATGGTTAGAAGCAAATGTGTCTTTTCTAGATTCATCGGAACCGGAAATAATCTCGGTAGAGACGGACACTAATCCCTGTCAGACGGACAGATGAACGAACTACACAAAAACAAAATATCTGAATAATACTATAAACTGCCACATACAATTATAATATAAAATAACACTATATTTGATGCTATAGGATAGAATAACAAAAATCACAAACACCAAAAATACGATATTTAAAGTAGTAATAAGTAACTATTACAAATAATATACAGTCGGTAAAAAAGAACAGGCCTAAAAATTAAACAAAAAACTAGTCATTGCTCTCGTTCCAAAAATGTCAAACTGAAAAGGCCTGTTTAAAAATATAAGCTTAGAAATTACGGATGTAGAAACATGTATAAACATAAAAATGTATTTATTACATTCTATAAAACTCTATTAAAGCACTTGTGCTTTAAACACGTTCTTCTTAACGTGCCCTATCAAGTCACGTTGGCGATTAACATGGCGAATACTGTCTCTGTCTCGAGCTATTCTAAATAGTTACTCAGCTTTCTTTATTCCTGTCCACTCCCTGATATTCTTCAACCAAGAGGCTGCTTTCTACCAATTCTTCTGCGTCCTTCGATTTTACCCATCATAATAAATTGAAGAATATTATATCGGTCTCCCCTTACTACGTGTCCAAAATAGGCCATCTTTCTACATTTGATGTATCACACACATCACCCAAACATGTTCACACATAAAATGTATCTATCACATTCTAGAAAACTCTAGTAAAGCACAACAGATTGTTTGAAAATAAAAAGCTTTTAAATTACCTCACCAAAAACAAGAAAAAACTTAATGATCTTTTTAGATCTTCTGTATAAAAAATATACTTTTTAAACTTACGTAAGGAACATAAGCATAAGTCATAATTAGCAAAATAACAATATTTCTTTTGAAACTAAGTATTAGTGACAAATATTACAACTTTAGTTTAAAACACGAAATTTAGCTGCAAATTAAAACGTCAAATACATTTGGAAGAACGATCTATGAGTTGACAATCGAAATCTTAAAAGTAAAAACTAATCTTCGACAATTATAGCGAACGATACTTCCTATTCTATTATTTTTTATTATAAGTAGTAAATAGATGTAAACTTGAGGTTTACCACTATATTCACCGAGATAATTAACAAGAGAAATAACATGTGATTTCCGCTGAGTGTCTAGAAACCAACTAGTTCATGACATTGTATGTCGGTAGAAAATAATGCCATGAAACCCATTTTTTTTTAAGAATGTCTAATGTCCAATTAATATCACAAATATCATCATCATCATCTTGGTGCTACAGCCCTTAGAGGGCCTCGACCTTCTCAGCTTTCTACGCCATTCTGTTCTGTCCCTTGCTTGAATTTTCCAGTTGCCGACTCCGATCTTCTCCGCATCTTGTGTTACCCCATCCATCCACCTCAGCTTTGGTCTACCCCGTCGTCTCATTCCCACAGGTTGCGCTGTTAGAATATTTTTTATCATGTTCGATTCAGGGGCCCGGGCTACATGTCCTGTCCACTGCAGGAGGTTTCGCTTAATTATAGTGGTAATATCTTTACCACCAAACGTATGCTTGTAGATATTCTGCAGTTCGAAGTTATATATACGCCTCCATATTCCGTTCTCACAGACTGCTCCAAATATCTTGCGTAGCACCTTCTTTCAAAAATGGATTAGAGCGGATTCATCTGTTTTCGTTAGCGTCCATGCCTCTGATCCGTATGTGAGAACGGGGACTATCAGTGTTCTATACAGCCTTATACGAGTTTTTTAAGACAGACGTTTGTTAGCTAGATCTAGATCCAGATCCAGAATAGAGCAGGCTAGAGCTGCTTTTAGAAGGATGTCCAAGGTGTTATGTAACAGAGACCTAAAATTGGCATTAAGGATCCGCATACTTCGCTGCTACGTGTTCTCGGTCTTACTTTATGCTGTTGAGTCCTGGACTGTGAATAAAATCGATCTAAATCGCCTTGAGGCTTTCGAAATGTGGTGCTATAGAAGAATTTTAAAAGTTTCCTGGGTGGAGAAGATTCGTAACTCCACAATACTTGAACGTCTCAGCAAGACCACTGAGATCATAAAAAGCATCAAGCAGAGAAAGCTGGAATATTTCGGACATGTAATGAGATGGTCCCAAATATAGATTGCTACAAAATATCATGCAAGGAAAAATAGCAGGCAAAACGCAGTCCAGGACGAAGAAGAACCTCATGGTTGAAGAACTTGCGAGATTGGTATGGTGTAGATACAAGCATGCTATTTAGGGTGGCAGTGAATAAAATTAAAATAGCTATGATGGTAACCAACGTTCTGAAAGGACATGGTACATGAAGAAGAAGAAGTTTGTTAGCTAAGTACTTTGATAGACCATAATAGCACCTGTTTGCAGTTATTATTTGCCTTTATATAACATCACAAATAATACCACAAATAAAGTAATTTAAAATATAATTGTATCGAAAAATAGTCAAAATACCATGGACCAGCTCAACCAGAAACGAAGAACTGCTTTGAAAAATAGAGCATCAAAGAACTCTATTAAATATCTTTATGAGTTATTAAGCTAGAATATCTTAAGATGTGAGTTCCTTTCATTAATTCTCCACTGCAAAATTGAAGGAAAGAAATGGATAGGACAAAAGAAACTCTCCTGGTTAAAAAATTTGCTAACGTGGGGAGTTGACCAGCAGACCAATTACTATAAAACCGAAATAAATATAAGAATATTTTTAAGCCTAAGATGGGCAGGACACCTAGCAAGATCACAGCAGAACAACCCTCTAAGTCGAATCCTTATGTCACAGCCATGAAAAGTTGATGGAGATAGGACAAAACTTGTATTAACCAAAAACTTGATGTAAAGATTGTGTAGATCAAGATTCTAGAAAAGTAGGTGCAGCAAACTGACAACGGTTAGCAGTTACTAGGACTGAGTGGTGTGATATCGCCAAATAACAATTTGGCGATATCGAGGGTTTGCTATAAGGGTGTAGCACCATTGATTATGATGATTTCTTAGTTAATAAATTAGATAACAAAATTAATGGAAATTAGAATTGGAATTTGAATTAATAGAAAAGGTGAAATTATTTTCAAAACTCATGTTCGATACGTGAATATTGTAGGTTTAGAAGCCAAAATATAAAGTTACAGAATTAATTCTTATTAACTAAATTAATGCAAATGACTAAAACTTCAATATCTGTTTACGATTATAAAAGTTCACAATTTAGAACATTTCCTTGCCAGTGAAAGAACTGTCGTCAGCTATTAAATAAATATAATAATTTAGAAAACGGTAATTCACAGTGCTTTAATCAATAAATTAATTTTTATTAAATCCATCAACTAAAATAAAAATTGTTTGAAGTAAAAATTTAGTTTTAATCATTTTTATTGGATTGCAAAACAATAGTCATGGAGATGGACGCTTTTCTTATTTAAATTAATAAATTATGTAGGCTATACCCAGTGTTTGTATATTTATTTGCTTTATATGATTTATTATAATTAGATTTCTTAATATTCTTCAAAAGAATATTTGTAACCTGACCAATTGCTCACCTTTTCAAACTTTGGAGTGAGAATTCTTCCATGTTTTATATTAGGTATGATATTTAGATATTGTAATGTTATTTTGAAGAAGTAAAAGGCAAACTATGTGTTAATATTGTACATTTTATAATAAATTACTATTATTTAATAAATTTTAAATTAAATACTGTGTTTATTTATGTTAAATTTCGATTTTGGTTTACAACATTAAAACCTATTGTTCTGAAGCTATTTTCTTGTGGCATTGTAAATTAATTACTATTTATAACTGGGAATAAGCCACAATTAAAGATAAAAAATACGTTTATTGACGTTTCAATTTCCAATTCGGAAATCGTTCTCAAAA